AAAGATCTTCCACTCGACCTTCATCACTTTAAAATTTGCTACAGCTTGATAGTTTTTAGTAAATTTTATTACAATACACATAGTTTTACACATATAATATTTTTTTAATATTATTTATATATCTGTTAACTAAATATTTTTTAAAACTAAACTGAATCTATTATTTTTGCAATTTCAAAAACTAGTTTTTAAAATATATTATTACTTATATTTTGATCATATTCTATTTCAACATAATCTATATTTTATAGACATTACACTTAAAAGACTTATACCTAAATCTCTTATTAAAGTTATTTATAACTTTAATATATCTTTACAATTAGCTTTATATATTAATAAACAAATCTATAAACTAATTTGAAAACTATACTATATTGAATTCTCTGATTGAAAAAAATATAACCAAATTCTATCTAGATATTAAAACAATATTAATTATACTAATATATAACTCCAACATTATAGAGTCTCTAAACAACATTGCCAAGTCTATATATACTTATGCCTATGTGACATCATAGATCAACTTCATTTACAATCTAATATATATTTACCAATTAATTAAGCAATTAGAAAACTTAACATCTGATCAATTCTCTGAATTAAATATAATATTTCTTCTAACTATATACTAATATTTCAAATCTAAATAGAACTTAACCACTATAGTCAGTTTAGGTTACAGATAAACTAATCTGAACTCTTATTCTTGTAAGTAATTTTTATTTTGTTTCATACAATCTTAGTTTACTTTAGTACCTTTGTACTAAAATATACAGTTAAAATTATAAATAAAGATATGAGCAAGACCTTAACTTAATACCAAAAAAAAATAAAAAAATAATCCACTTTGTAACACTATTATTTTGCTATTATGTTACTGTTATGCTATTATTATTTATTTGTTTGACCTGTAACTAGAATTTAGTTTAACAAAGCTAAATATTAATTATTGTATAATAATTATTATTAGAAAGTAATTCGAGGGTTAGTTTAATAATAACTTTCTTAAATAGGTAAAAAAACTTAACAGTAATCTTAATTTTAACAGTCGTGATTAGACTAGTATACGCGCTTTTTTAAAACAAAAAATATGCCAATAACTTAAAATTTTGTCTATTAAACTATTTTCTGTGCTCTAAGAAAAAAAAACCATTCTTGCAAAATTTTAGTATCAACCAAACGTGTCATAATTATGATCCTAACCTTGAGGATGAATTTTTAACAACTGTTAGACAGCAAACGAAGAATTTCTAATTGATCTTAGGCACAAGTGAAAGGCATGTTAATTAATAGCTGCTCTCAAATTGATGTTTGTCATAGGCATAAATGAAGAGAATATATCAATGAGGTATTATATTAAGACTTGAATTACTCAGTAAAATATTAAGTTTCTACTGTTATAAAAGTTTAAGATATTATGAAAAATTAATTATCATCCAAATTTTATTAAATTTAATAGAATCACAAAAGTTGTGCATATAGTTTATTGTTCCAAAATATAAAATCATAGATATTTCTTCAACTGATTGTAACATGCTAGCATATGTCGAACCTCGATGCATTTTTAACAGTATAATGTGACAAGAAATTAGATGTCTATAACGCTTTGGTAATTCTTACTTTGCAAGAACAATATTCTGAATACTAGAATCTTTTAAATAATAACCTTGGATTATTTGAAAATATAATTACAAGATGGATGCACATAATCACGCATGCTACCAAATGTAATCAACATTGGAGCATTGCATAATTCTTAACCCAACGGATTTGTTATAAAGGTAAGATAAACCTTTTATTTTATCATCTTTTCTTTATTTAATGTTTTTATTACTGACTGGAAAAGCATCATTGCAGAAGTTGTTCAACAGCGAAACTATGTTATTTAAATCAGAGTTTGTGCGTTCAAGTATTTTGGAAAACTCACCATCAGGTTTTGATTAAGAATGTCGTAACCCTGATGAGTTTAAAATAAGTCAAAATCACAATCATTACTCTCGTCAATGTATCAGTATCTTCATTAAGATTGTTTTAATAATTTAAGAGGTCGTTCATGCTGATTCAAGAATATGTATTAAATTTTTATATACTATTAACTGTGAAATAAAAACAAGTAGTGTCACCATCGAATGAGGAGCTTCCGACAATCATGCCGAGTTTACTCCGATGGTTGACGTAAGAGAGATATAGGAACCTGATGATAAATTAGAAGATTCGGATTTACAATGATTCCTAGGCATTTATTATATAAAAGAATGTATATTTATGTATTCTTTATTTAGAGACGATTTCAGAGCGTACATTGAAGGGCGGAGCAACCCTTTTATATACATTCTAATTTCTCATGATTTCAGCGTTAAGATTATAGCGTTGCGCTATATTTTGGACGTCAACAGTTACATGTATCAAGCCACCATAACGATAATAATGATAAAACTACCCCAGTGGCACCGACAGACTTTCACTGATCGACATTTTTTTAAAGTCATAAAACAGTACATTAGTGTCAGGTTTATAATTATAACGAGACTTGTTTTATACTAAAATTTGCAAGGAATTTTTTTTTACTAATGCGCAGAAGATGGTTACATAGACGAAATTTTGAGATTTCACGTTATACCCGTCTTGTAATCTAATTGGTCAATCGCTGTCGATCAGTGAAAATCTGTCGGTGCCACTGGGGTAGTTATACAAAGATGGAAGGTGAATGACAAGACAAATATGGAAATGAGCAAAATTATCTGTTACAGTTCTTTACAGAGATATGGCTGTGTCGAGTTTAGCTTCGTTGAAATTATGATAAATGTGTTTATACAGGTATATTAATGTATTGTTGTGGCTGATGCTGAAATTTGGATCTTACTAAATCTACTTATACCGATACACTTTTATTAGCAACACCTAATCTAAGAAACAATGCAACCAAAAATTTTTAAAATTTCATAAAAATAAGATCAGTTCTTAGCATCAGCTACGATAATGAATATAGAATTGATTTTTTTAGAAAATTGTACAAACTTTTGTTAATACCGATACTATTCAACATGATGAAAATCTGCAGATTCAGAACCCGTGACAGAGTCACGAGATTAGAAACTAGTAAGATCTTGGTTCCATTGTCCATTGTATTTTAACCCAGAATTCTGCACAAGTTTACGAAGAATGATATTACAATATTTCATTTGTGCGATGCTTTATCTTGTTCTATTCACAAAAAAAAATGTGATATTTGCTGTTCTCGTATTATATAACTATGTGATGTGCATTTATTCATGATCAAAATAATAAATTTAACGAAAATAACGCAAATATGTCGATATATTTTTACAATTTTAATGACAATAGATCTTTTAAGAAATATATGCATAAAAGTAATTTAAAGTCAAGATTGAACTAAAAGTCATTATCATTGGCAAAAGTGTTAAAAATGTTAACTCGAATAATCGCTATGTATTCACAACTCTTCACATAATTCAAATATAATCAAACCATTCGCACTACTAATTCCACCACATTGTTTAAAAGGTTCGGAGAATCTGCCTTCACCAAATCCAGAATATGACGCACTTGCACTGACATTTCCAGCTTCCAAAAAGGCATAGTTTTGCTGAGCATAGAGATTAAAGGTACCTTTTTTTCCTCTAAAAGTTATGTTGACTTCTGGACCTCTCAAAGCGCCTTGCCTAAATACGAATCTTGCCATATTTCCTCTACCAGCTCTTGATGTGATAATGGCACCCGGGTTAGGAACAGCTACTGCTTCACCCGCTGTTGTCTGTGCGCTTACAAATCTTAACGTTCTTGGACCAAAATTGAAAACATTAATAACAAGATATTTGGCTTCACTATATGAAGGTTCGCCTTTTATAACTTTACTTTCGTCGTATTCATTATCAGACTCATTATTGGGCATGTTTTGACTGTACAGTAAAAAGTTATGTTAATTATAATTTATAAAACAAGAATACGTATAATTAGGAAACTAAATTTATTTACTTCACTTGCATGTTTATATCATTTTGAGTTTCGTTAGGGATAAGATGGTTGAAAGTATTGAGAATTAATTTTGCTTCAGGACGATTATCAGGATCGTTGTCCCAACATTTTTTATAAAGTTCAAGATATTGAGATGGTGTGCCTTTTATAGGATCTTCTCTTTTACCTTGAATTATATTAAAATAGAGTATCGTTTTTGATTCAACATTTTGGAATGGTGGTTTTCCGCTTGAAATTTCCCAGAGGATTACTCCAAAGCTATAGACGTCAGATTTTTTATCACGTTTATATTCAGGATCGGTAAGGCATTTAGGTTCGATATATTCCAGCATTCCATGAACATTTGAAGTCGTAGACATTTCATTTATCTGCCTTGATAGTCCAAAATCTGCAATCTTTGGTTGTCTTTTATGAATTAAGATGTTCTTCGAATGCTAAATTATTAAAGTGTTAATGAATGAATTGATATAAATTCAGTAATATATGTATACATGTAGTACTTACAAGGTCTCTATGAATAATATTATGATTGTGCAAAAATAAAAGTCCAAATGCTATCCCCTTAGCAATACTTAGCTTATCGGTCCATTGTAAATTTTCGAAATTTGCTTTTAAGTATTCTCGTAAAGCTCCTTCATCAGCATATTCTAAAATCATGTTATAATCTCCGTTTCTATCTATATATTCAATTTAATAAATATTTTTATTAACTATTACGTATTTAATACCTTCAAAAATTATAAATTGCCTGTTTACCTTTCGTGATCCCATAGAATGTAATAATGTTTGTATGGTAACCAACTCTTCGTAATAGGTTAAGCTAATTATATGAATTATATAAATTTATTCTAAATAGCAGTATGTACGCAATTAAAATAATACCTCATGAATAAAATCTTTAATGATTTTGTCATCTGTATTTGGATAAACTTTAAGACATTTAAGAGCAACTGTTAATTCATTGTCTTTCCATTCGTATTTAAAAACCTTTCCAAAACCTCCAACACCAATCTCAATTGGGTCTATAAATTCCTTATATTCATGATAATTAATATGCCCATCGGAAATTGCTTTTTCAAGCCATTTTGTTTGTAAATTTTCCATAACTTTTTGTATGTACTAATCTTGGTTGAAAAATACGTACTTACATACGTATGTATGGTATGGAATCTAAAAACCTCAATCTATCTATATGTATACTGTAGACGATAATGCATAAGTTTAACGCCATTGAAGATACATAATTATTTCTTAGAATTCTCGATCTGTATAAAAATGGAATCAATGGACTATATTTGTGACCAATTTTACCGATTCAGAAATCAACTAATAAATAGATTAACCAATTAAAGAAAATATATGATCTACGTACTGCATAAATTACATTCCTGATATTCTATATAACCCACTAATCCTAAGGAGAGTGTCACTTATTACATAGATATAGGGTTCTCAGGAAAATATCAATTGACCATGTCTTATATTCTATAATATAATTATATAAATCTTATATATTTTATAAACCTCTTGCATTATTGTGCATATTTATATGTATTTATATATGAATATGCATGAATATGCGCAATTATGCAAGTAGTGCATAAAACTGCAAAGAGTTTATAAAATATGCAAAATTTATATAATTATATTATTAATTATTTTAAAACTTATAATTGTCAAAAAATTGACTTTAAGAATATAAAATATAATCAATTAATATTTTTCTAAAAACCTTATATTTATATAATAAGTAACACACTTTCTTAATTATATTAAAAAAACTCACAAAAGATGTAGTAACCTAGTGAAGTGATCAGGTTGTCAACTCTCCAAGTGGTAGTTGGGTATTCAAATCCCATTGACAACAAAAATTTAAATAATCACCTATATAATATTCATATTATGGCAACTATTATTAATGATTGGGTTAGAATATCTGTAATGATGGTTATACTAGCATAACTAGCAAATTATAGGGTATTTGTGTAAATATGGCATTATATAGAGAAATGTGAACTGACAAATCAGGTGATATAAACACTAGATAAGTTTTTGTAGCCATATAAATATATTAAAATTGGGTAACAAGAAGTTCATTTGGAAAGACCCAAATAGAGAAGTAGCTGGATCTTTGATGATCTTATTGTAAAAGCTAGCCTGGAGAAATGAATACCAAGGTTTTAGTATCTAGTTGTAATAATTAGACAGACAAGAACCTTTGGGTTGGGAGTCTCAGAGATACCACCAACCAGGTCATTAAAATGAACCAGAAGAAAAGAATATTAGGTTAACCTAATATACTAATAGATTGATCATAGTCCTACATAGACTATTTAGATTGAGAGTTTGATAAAAAGACAAATAAAAAGATAAGAGTATACCAAAATACCAGAATTATGCTATAAAGTAGATGCTGGGGTCTAAGTAAACTCTATAAGGACATAGTAGTTTAATGGTTAAGTTCTGACTACAAGTATTAGTTCTGTCATAGCAATATTTATTTTAGTTATAAAAATAGGTACAGAAGGCTCTAGGAGGTTTACTTTAAGAATAAATTAGTTCTAAGGTTGAGACAATAATCTGAACATCTGGATATAACCTAGTGAGTTAATACAGATTACAGATTCAGAGAGTTTAAAGTAAAACACTCAAACAGAGGTGTTAGATATGACAATTAGTAAAAAACCTTCAGGCAGATTCCTTAAATAGATAATATAGAAAAGTTATATATGTAGTTAATTGTATGTTCTTCTGTAGTAGTTTATTAAACTACAATACCAATAAATGATTAATAAAAATCAAAAGATCAAAGAGGTCATCTTAATATCAAAAAAAAAAAACTCATTGATCTTATGAGAAAACATTTATCTAATTAGTTGATTTTTATAAACTTATTTGTGATTATTTATAAAAATTAATAAATAAAACTATATTATTTTTGTAATTAAAAAAAACAAACAAAATTTATATATATTAATAAGAAAAAATGAACAAAATATTATATTATACAACTAGAAGTTTTTTTTAATATTAAGATAAGGTTTTGCTTATATCTTTATTTTATTATTTTTAAGTAATAATTAAATAATGTTACTAAATACAAAAAATAGGTCTGTATATTATAGCAAATATTATTTATTATTATTTTTTTTTAAGATGAGATTTTGCTTATATTTTTATTGATTTGTTAGAGAAGCCTTTAGGAGCTTCTCTGGATATAAATTACAAACTTATTTCAATTACAAATATATTACAAGAATGGACCTCAGACTATAAACAAATTTCTATCCAATTTATTTGCAATCTAAACCTACTAAAGTAGTTAAAACTTATCTAGATTTGATAATATAAGATATTGTTTGTAGGATAGCTATATAATATTCAGTATACAGACCAAAGGTCAATTTTATAAAGTATATTTCCTAGTGGTAAGCAGTTATTATCTTCTGTATAGAGTTGATTAGACAGACTACACAGTTGGCAGACTGTATAGTATAGGTTACAATGTTGATTAGAGTAGTTATAGAATCTTCTGTGAGTTATAAATCTGTTATTTGGTGTGATATTGTTATTTTTTTTCTATTGTGCTAATTTAGTAGCATATGGTTTCTATATGTGATTATATATTTTTTGTGATATTTTGGTAAGGAGTTTGGTAGTTATTAGAGTTGCAATTTGATGAGATGTAGTATAGGGTCTGATTGTAGTAATTAGATCTGTTGACACATATCCTTGTAGTGTTGTATATATGTTGTTTTGTTTTCAATGAGCATTGTTAACTGATAGGCTATTATGTTGAGTTAGTAAATAGTATAATTGTTGTAATAGTAATTGTATAATTTCTAGTAGTAAGTTATTTTAATGATTTCAGAAATTGTTTTTATAATAATACTAGTAAGATTTGTTGAGTTAGAGCATAGTAGCCAATGCAGTAGGTGTTCTGGTGCTTGGCAAGTAATGCAGTTATTGTGCTGAAAGCTGTCTGAATATAGTTTATGAAGATGGTGTAGTGTTGGTAAAATATTAAATAGTGTTTTGATCTTGAACAATTTGTATTAATTAAATGAAAAGTTGGTATAGTTATTCATTCATTTAGTATTGTTGTTAAGATATAACCATGTTGTGTTTCAGTCAATTTGTGATAACAATAGAATAATGTTATTCATGCAATGTTGCGATGACCATATAGCAATTATATGTACATTATAGATGTTTTTGATGACTCATCTAGTTAGTTGTTTGATTATGTATTTTTCATATTTTAAAATATATAAGATGTTATATAGATTATTATATATGAAGTCAAGATATGCAATAGAGTTATGGTTTGTTGCTAGCTTATTAGCTTTATTGTTAAATGTATTATTACTATGTACAGGTACTTTATGTAAAGTAATTGTATATTGATAAGATTGAATTAGGTTGAGTAGTAAATACCAAATAGGCCAATACAAATAAGAGTATTGTTTGTATATTGGAATTATATAACTGGTAATTTTGCTAAATTTTATAATGATTGATTGGAAGTCTGTATAAATTTGTATGTTGCTATTGTGTAAGCATATACAAATAGCAGATAGTATTGCTATAAGTTCTGTTTTATAAGATAATGGCCAGAGTTTAATACAGAAAGAGTATGATTAAAGTATTGTATTATTGTAAATTTGTACTCATCTGATGTTTATAGAGCATCTGTTAGTGGTAAGATTAGTGACTGATCCATCTGTGTAAAATATGAAGTTAGTATATCTCTTATTAAGGTTAGCAATTTCCTAAAGTTTAATAGAAGAAAAATTAACTTTAAATAGGTTAAATATAGGTGTATTAGTGAGTGTAATAGTAGGTGATGGTGGGATTAATAGAGGTGATCATAAAGCAATAGAATAAATAAGGTTTAGATAGTTTGCATTTAAGTTAAGTTCTTTTATATTGTTGTGTTTTTTCTGTTCTAGAAATTTGTTGCAGAATTAGCTGAAATGTTAAAAGTGTAATAGTTTTAAATTCTGTTTGA